TACCTTCTCAGACGCAGCCACTATCCCCTAGCCAGGTGGTACCTCTGGTGGTTAATTACGATTCGAGTGCTGTGGGAGGCTCTCTCTCCATTTTGCGAACTTGCCTAATCCTGTACACAAAATGCTCAAAAGTCACAACTAAGCGCAAGTAATGACAAATAAAGTGGTTGGTGCTAACAAATAAATAATACTAAAGATTAGGAACTATGTCTCAAAAACTTTTGCGAAGTAGGACTGTGGATATTTTGTCAGAGGAGATGGACTAAGGTTTGAGGGAAGAATCCAAGGACGGGCCATCGGACCAACTAGATCCAATAGAAAGAACGCAGGGACCGGAACTAGCTATGAATGAAGATTTCGAAAGCGGTAGTAGCAGAAGGGACCTAGACGTTACTCAGCTTTCCCCACTAGTAGAAGTTGAGAAAAGCGATAGTTTTAAGTTACAGGACTTGATGGCAAATATCCAGGTACTGTTTCGAGAGGAGAAGGCAGAGGCCGAGGAAAGAGCTAGGTGATCAGAGGAGAATATTCAGAAATTGTTTGAGAGCTTGGAAAATGGCCAGAAAGAAACGCGAGAAAAATTACAAGCTCAAATAACAGGAGTTAGGGACGAGGTTCAGGCTAACCTGGTGGCAGTAGATAAAAGGCTAGTACAGGTGCAAGAGAGTGGGGAAAGGAAATTGCGGGAAGAAATAAACAAAGTGCTTCAGGACTGCCAAAGGTCACATGACCAGCTAAGGGAAAAGGTATCTACCAAGTTAACCAGGGAGATAAGACAAGTGCAAGAAGCGGGGAATCAAAGAGAAGGAAGGTGAGAAAAAGAATTAATAGGGACAAAAGAACAAATGGAAACAGACAAAAAGGGGCTTGAAGGAAAACTAAAGGAGCTTACCGCTCACCACGAAATAGTAAGTGAAAGTCTGCAACAACAAATGATAGCAAACAAAGAAAGGGCCGAAACTAGCATTGTTGAAGTGAGTAAAGAAGGGTCGAGCTTGAGCTTAGGTTTGCACAAAGCCCAAGAAAAAATAGATAGATTGAGCACAGTGAGTAGTGAGGTGGCCAGTTTTGAGCTTAAACTTACAACAGGTTCAGGAGAAACTAGAAATAATTTCGGACGAAGCTTCGAGGCGACTAGGGGAGAGAGCTTCTCGGATTGAGCAGTGAATTAGTGATGGTCAACTTAGACCAGTTAAGAACTAAAGAGGATCGAGCAGGAGGCTGAAAAATTAAGGGAAGAACTCGGGGGAAATCAGTTTTCGTTGTAGACTCTGGTGCTACTCCCCTACTCACTTGAAGAGAAACTGTTACAGATGCTGTGGTTGATTCAGGTGGAGCAAGCGTAGAGAATAATTGTGAAGAGCTGTCGGGAACATTCAGGGGAAACACTGGTTTCGGGAGTGGAGAATTTCCACTGCCCTTATTTGATGAAAATGCTGGCGTCAATCCTCTTGCTTGGCCCTGAAGACGGGGTAGATATGTTCCTCCAAAAGGTCGGTTGACTTCGTACGGACTACAGGGCGTTATATCTGAGAATATAGTGCTCTTCTTACTGTTTTATTATTACCTTTCCTTTGCCATTATTTCTTGCTTAGAAAAGGCTGTCTGTTGGGAGAGAATTGTTATTCTGACAGTAACATAACACAGTTTGGTGAAATTGTAATTTCCCTGACTCTACTTAGCCCAAATAGTCTCCAGTCTTGTGTTACCGTTCGCTGCATGTAGTAATGTTAGACTTCCTCACAGTTGCACAGATAGAGTGCAATTTGCAATCGATATCCTCCTACCTCATTATTTGAGACATTTCCTACGACCGCTTGTTGGCCTTGGTCTACTTAGACCCAACAATGGTCCCAAATTTGCTGGGACAATTCACTGCATGCGGTTCTGTAGTCGCAAATTGGGCACCATAATTAAGATAGGATGTGCACGGTTGGCCTCTGTGGTAGAAGTTAAGGGTGCTGATGGTAGGTAGCTTGTGTTCTTAGCAGCCAAAAACTAATATTAATATTCCAAGGACATGAGCGAGATGAATAGTGAAAGAATTGAAGACATGTATCCATAAAATAAGTCACTGGTAATTTAAGTGTGGTGTTTGAATTGCATGCCTTGTCAATGTGCAGTTAAAGCCCACAAGCCCACGTGTTTACTTGCTGAAGACGCCGTAGATATTGTTAATTGGTTTATTCAACAACCTACAAGTAACGGCTACAATTAATTATTACACAGTTGTGGGGTTTCACACAGTTTAACCCTAATCGCATTAATCCGTTTACACTGTTGCGGGGTTTCACACTTTATAACCCTATGCGCAAATCAGTTCACTCTGTCTTCAGTGGTCTACACGTTTACAGTAGGGGAGATATGTATCACTGTATCACACACTCCCAATTACACACACGTCCGGTTCTTCTTTCCGCGACGGCTGCTATACTCAAACTATAGTCGGCTGACTGGAGAACTATTGATCACACACTCGCTGGACTACTACTTAACTCTGCGACTGTCACATTACAACTGACTCGTAGCTGCTGTGCAGTTCCCTTATATAGCTGCAGTGGTGCCTGTTGCGTGCCACGTCACAGGAGTTGTTGACTGCTGCCTAGCAACCGCGCTTTCCTTGGTGACGTCACCGTTGACTCGCGTTGCATAGCTACCAGGTTGCGGGTGCTCGGCTAACTTCGGCTCCGCTCAGCAGTAGATGGTGTTGCCAATTTGTAAGTTCCTATAATAACAGTGAATAGCGTAGACCTTACTCTCTGGGGGACCACGCATTAGCCTAATTGGTTGAGGAACTATGCTACTAGCCAGAAGGTCTCGGTTTGATTCCCTTTGAGGCTATATGATTTGTCAGTTGACCTAATCCTTCCAGCCTCACCACGGGCCTGGGGTCGACTCAGCCTCTTAACGGTAATGAATACCAGGAATCTTCCTGGGGGTATAGGTTCGGTCGTTGCGTAAGGCTGACAGCCTCAACGCCATGTGTGAGCCGACTGTCTAGAAAACGTGGGGAGCCTCCACGGCCTGTTACAGGGGTAGCTTACGTATTTTACTCTGATGGAGTTCAGGCAGTGACTACCCGCATCTGACGCATCATCCATACATGTTAACGGTAATGAATACCAGGAATCTTCCTGGGGGTAAAGGTTCGGTCGTTGCGTAAGGCTGACAGCCTCAACGCCATGTGTGAGCCGACTGTCTAGAAAACGTGGGGAGCCTCCACGGCCTGTTACAGGGGTAGTTTACGTATTTTACTCTGATGAGTTCAGGCAGTGACTACCCGCATCTGACGTATCATCCGTACATGTTTGTCTCATATTATGAGCCAGTACAACTCAGAATATGAAATTTATGTGGCAGTTCGTTCACCATCCTACATATCTTCTTGCATTCGGCTCATAAACTCAATTATTGGCATTCTTTGTTTTAACCTAGGCATTTAGAGATACTCAAATTTAGAAACGATGCGATCAGCTGTCAAAAATGCCCAGACACACTTGGTCGCGTCCTTGAACGTAACAGGTTTCCTTAGTAAAACTTCCTCTGAATGATAGGTATGTGAAGAGTTCTATATTCTGAAATGTAATGCCGTGTAAGTCTTCTTTGTCAGTTTTCCTATTAGCCTCTGTCTTTTCTTGGTTGGCTCTTATTTCCTTCAGCAGAAGTTCCAACATCTGCTGTGACTCCATGTTTTTTTCATGTGGTTTTTGCGTGTGTAAGTTCTTAGCCACTTCTGACACCAGTGTTATGTGTTTTCCGTATGTCCCGCAACTAGTAAATCCATGTAGGTCTCAAATTCAGTAGAGCCTTCTTTATTGGACACTTCACTTATATAATCACGAGTGCAGTAATTATCCACTGTCCTCCTCGGTGGTTAGTTCCAGACTAACTGCGAATGCATTCAACCCCGTTTTATAACCTCGGTCGCTGCTATGCAACGAACCCTCTGTTATAACCGTGGAGACTCCTGTTAGAACTACAACAGAGTGATTGTTGTTTCCTATGCAACGGTCTATTCTAGCGTTTCCATGGAAGTGACTCTTCGGGATTCCAGACGCGTTACATTATGTCTTAGGCAAAAATATCTCCTTTCTCTACCTTAAAGTTCTTTGGATTCAGTAGAAGAAGATTTAAATTCGACGGGCGTTAGAAATCAGAGACAAAATCACAAGTCTGGTACCAGTGGCGAGTAATCGTAAAAAGGCCAAGGTTCATCATGGACCGTAGCTCGAGGAGGAGGAGAATAAGAAGATGATGATGATGTCACATACAACAACAAGAACAAAATAGTTTTCCTTTAGAAAAATTGTAACATAACACTACTACTACGTCAGGTTTCTAAAAATGGCCGCATCTTCAGTAAAACTCCCATAAAATAGTATGTCCTTCCTGTTTCGACGAACAAGGTTGAAAATTCCAGTCGAATGTGATTGCAGATATCAGGGATATGCAAACCACTGTCCGTGGGCTGGATGAGGGCCAGAAATTAATTCACTCAGATTTGCGACAGGTATTATCAATAACAGCAATTTATTATTTTGATTTTATATCTATACACAGAAAGAGCAGTGTAGTCACAAGAAATATAAACAACACTTACAGAGAGGTACTGGATATGGGTTCGATTCCTGGCATGGCAACATTTTAATTTTCTTCTCAGTGTCCAGGTGGTGATGCTGACCACTCACCTCTGTCTAATGCCGTATTCAAGAAAAGCTATAGCTCCTCTCCATCATATATCATCATGACTTAGTGCTTAATCAAATAAGCACAAGAAAACTTTATCTTACAGAAATGGACAGTACGCATGTTAACTGTGCCAAACAGCTTTATGTACAGTAGGTCCTGTTCGGATTCTTTTTAGTGCATGTGCTTTTTATGTGTGACGATAGATGGGGTTTGGACTGAATGGTGGATCTGTTGAACATTTATACAAATCACTCGAATCTACAAGTAATGTACATCTTAAGATGAGAATGTACTATACGTACTACATTATAGTACTTAAATATTCTACAAATGGTTCAACCAACCCCTAGTCAATTACAGTGAGTCTGAAGGCATGTAATACATTTACCATCCTACTATGCAGTAGGCTAATGCAGAAAAAACTAAAATGAATTGATATAATAATAATAAATTGAGATAATAATAATATATAATGGAAATAAATAATTTATATAAATTTATTTAATTCTTTTCTTTCTTACGGCTCCCGTCTTCACCTGTGAACAGAAACAAATACCTGTTAATATTTTCGAGTTATTTTTAAGATTTACAAGACAATTGTAATTATCATAACATCTCCCTATTACCATGAAGAATTGGCATGTTGATCGGAATGTACATGTGAGAATGTAATAATTTTCTAATTGAGGGAATATCCCGGCATTTGTTAAGAGACGAAGACTAACCTGAGTTAAGTCTTTGTGTATCGTCCATATCTAACAGGAGTTTGTCTGTTACTCAGTTAAGGCTTACGGAGTGTAATCCAAGGTTGATGGTTGCCTTACCTTCTTTTAACACAGATGTGGCATGTTTTGGGGCAGCCGCAGCTGGGCCACCTAGGCCCTCTCCAGTGGCATGTGCCACGGCAGGTGACGGGTTGGAGGGATTGATTATCAACTCCACATCTTTCTGGGGGGAAGTTTGCGCTGGTTCTCTCGGGTTGGGGAAATTGTTGGACTTCTCAGGGAATGTACGGTCTTTCCCTTGGGAATGCACTCCGAGGGAACTGTGCCCTTCGGCTTTGGGGGGGTCTATTGCTGGAATAATTGGGGGATTTAGTTGTTGAGGAAGCTGGAGTGGGGGTATTTGTTGGGTATGAGTGGGCAATGCCAGCCCCTTCACTTCCCAGTTTTCCGGCAGGGTCGCACTAGTGGTACCTTCTTGTATTAGGCCTAAGGAGGTAGAGGCCATTGGGGCTTTGTTTTGTTTTTCAGTGTCCATGTGCTATTTAGTCACCGAATTTGTGGCATCCTTTCTGAAAGGGGGTTGCTCACCTGGGAAGGGCCATTATCCTCATATGCATACCTGCCCATAATATACATATTCCTCCCTTAATGTAGGAATTTACATCTACAAAGGGTACGGGCCAGAATCACTGCAACCCCTATACCAAGACAGCCTAGACTCCTGTCGTTGAACAGGTCGGCACGTACTAAGAGTTTCACAAGACCCAGACCATGGGGCTGTGCATACCCATGTGTGGGTGTTGGGTGTTATCACTCGGTTTCCTTCCAACTTAGTAGCTAGGAACTGTGAAGGATTTAGAGTCTGAAGTGGAGACCTTCATTACTGGTCATTGATTTTGATGACCAATGGGGCTGTGCATAGCCTAGACTCCTGTCGTTGAACAGGTCGGCACGTACTAAGAGTTTCACAAGACCCAGACCATGGGGCTGTGCATACCCATGTGTGGGTGTTGGGTGTTATCACTCGGTTTCCTTCCAACTTAGTAGCTAGGAACTGTGAAGCATTTAGAGTCTGAAGTGGAGACCTTCATTACTGGTCATTGATTTTGATGACCAATGGGGCTGTGCATAGCCTAGACTCCTGTCGTTGAACAGGTCGGCACGTACTAAGAGTTTCACAAGACCCAGACCATGGGGCTGTGCATACCCATGTGTGGGTGTTGGGTGTTATCACTCGGTTTCCTTCCAACTTAGTAGCTAGGAACTGTGAAGCATTTAGAGTCTGAAGTGGAGACCTTCATTCCTGGTCATTGATTTTGATGACCAATGGGGCTGTGCATACCCATGTGTGGGCGTTGGGTGTTATCACTTGGTTTCCTTCGAACTTAGTAGCTAGGAACTGTGAAGCATTTAGAGTCTGAAGTGGAGACCTTCATTACTGGTCATTGATTTTGATGACCAACTGGATCACCAGCCCGTTGTGTTTTTGTGCCGCTTTGCGTGCCTGCCATGCATGGTCTGCATCATGCTAGGCAATAAGTTTCCTGTGTCGCCAGGCGGGTCTGAACCCTTTCGGGTCTCATATCCAACCCTGTGGGGGGGGCATAGCTCAAGCGGTTAGTCGCTGGCTTCCCACCGTGGCGGTCCGCGTTCGAGATCCCGTGTCTGGTCAAGTGGGATTTGTGGTGGACAAAGTGGCACCGGGGCAGGTTTTCTCTGAGTACTTCGGTTTCCTCTGCCAATCTTCATTCCAGCAATTGCTTCACAATCACCCTCACTTATCTCCTGGGGATGGCACAGTAGGCCAGAAGTGGCTGCAGTACAAGTCCCACCCCACTAGCAATAAAAAAAAGCCAGAAATAAATATTTCTAAACCATTATGAAACCCACAGCTATATTAAAGTAAGCTTACATTGAAAATAACAACGATAATGATGGCAGGAACAACAATAGAAATAGGCTAATAATAACTGTGTGAACTATAGGAGGATAGTATATAGATTTAGTGCATTTAAGTTGGACAACTTTGATACGAGTAAAAGTATACAATGTGATGATTCTGGATTTGTACATACCGAATGGTGACTTTCTTATTGGGAGATGTTCCTGTGAACAGAAATAAATGTCTTAATATTCTTGAGTTACTGAGAGATTTACAAGATAACTAATTATATATATAATCTGTTCGTCAATATAAAGAATTCGTATAGTTCGAATATACATCAGATGAAGTAATCTCTTCCTTATTGAGGGAATATCCCGGTATTTGCCTGGGGAAAACAACTTACTGAATAAAGTATTTGCGGTTTCTGTCCGTCCCTCTGGCATTCTGTCGAATTCGTGATTAAACAACAGTGAATTCTGTAAAGTCAAAATTGCCAAATATTGCCTCCTGTGTGCAAGCGAGCTTATCGTATCGCTACTCAGCATTTCGAGTGTCTGAGTAGAGAAGTATTTAAGTGAAACATAGTAAAGTCCGTGTAGGTAAACATTTGTCTCATACATTTTCTTATCCAAAATGGTCTAAAACAAGGAGATGCTTTCACTCATAATTTTCGGCTAAGAGGCAGGAAATGACAGATAAATAACAATCGAAAAACATATTATCGCCGACTCTGACGTGAATTAGGCCACTCTATGAAGGGACAGTTGACCAGGTGGTTCTCCAAAACTCTCTAACTAAAGTTCACTTCAGTTCTAATATCCTGAAATTTGAAACACCATTATGAAACGTTTCTGGCTTTCCCTCACTAGTCGTTGAAATTATAGGGTCGGTGTTTTAATTTTATTCTTCTGAAAACTCGAATTCTCCGTTATTTATTGGTCGGAAGAATTTTTATGTCATGGTGATTGGGGTCGCGGATCACAGTGGCCGCACGGTCTAAGGCATGAACTGTCTTAGCTCGCTCGAACTCTGGGATCGTGGGTTCGAATCGAACTCAAGGCATGGATGTTTGTATTCTTTATATAGGTACAGGACTTGCGACGGACTGATTTCCGTGCAAGGGTTCCTACTGACTGTGTAAAAAGGTCAAGAAACTGAAAAGCGGCGAAGACCTAAAAAAGAACTGCAGAGGCATAAATAGGTATTCAGGTAGGGTGGATGGGTCGTCGTGGTTTGGGGTCTGCTCAGATACTTCACCCCTTTCAAAGCTGAGTACACTTACCAGAAGTCACAAAGTTACTGTACTTGTTTTTCACCTTTCCTGAACCGGTGCGTCTCTCTTGGACAGTAATTCTCTGCTCTAAAAAAGGTACTTAGTTAACCGACGCAGCACACAGATTCAGGGGTCTAAGTCATCGTTTTGGAAAGAGCACAAATAGACTTAGGAAACAGTTCGGACATTAGTGACTGTGGGACAGGAGCTATCACTGAAAACGAAATAGTCTCATGTACAGATGTGCAAGCTCAGCTCAATAGTCGTGAAGTTTTTGTAGCCTATTTCTCTGTATCTTTTCATAAAGTAAAAGGATGCCTATGAGAGAAGTTTCTATACCAGTATATCCAACAATAACATAAACATATACAGGCATGTGACACTTCGCCTGAACGCTGGAATATTGCAGTGCATGGTCGTCAGTTGTTGTTCTCTCTAAGTAACTTGTGGTCCGAAAGCACCGTATCCAAGCTCCTGTGTTGTGAGCCTGCTTTCAGTATGTGTTTATATGAACTATCCTCATCGTTGCTATGCAACGGATTGATAAACACGTTTCCGCGACTATGAATACACACCTAACAATGCAAGAGTTTATGGACGCATTGTTTTCTATCAAAAGAAATTAGGGGATCAGTTCTTCCCAGAATTTGTTCTTAGTATACATTTCCTCCCTTTTGCTCCTTAACTTAATAACTTAAATTCACATCATGTGTGCACAGTTGACTTGTACGATGTGTGCACTCAATTTTCCAGATGTCCACTACCTCCCCTTGTATGGGTATCTGCCCGAGAGCTTTGCATACGTCGTGTTGTCAGCCGTGGCGTTCGTAGGCGACTCCACAACACTTGCATTATCGCAAACTACATACTGTCCAAAGTTAGGGTAAGAGGTGAATGATGAATTGGAGAGGATTCGGAAGGAGACGGCAGTATCTGAGGTAATATTCCGGCATATACATTGAGGGTCCGAAGAATATGAGTTGAAGTGATGGCGTCACAACTGGGACTTGAACCCATAACTTCCGAGAATATGAGTTTCGAACTCAAGTCTCTTCGGTTACGAAGATATAGTGCTTCCAACTTGTACTGGAACATGCCCGGTTCGAATCTTGGCCAGGGCACTGACTATCCTGACCAAGGAATTCGTAGCTTTCCTCCAACTGTCCAACAAATGACGGAACGGACAAAATAGTCAACAGCAGCGTCCTTTCCCTTGTTGACAAATTCACGATTCACCAATCGTGGTACAATGTGGCTCTATATAGTCTTTGAGTTGCTTACAGATGCGATAAGAAAACGCAAAGAAGCAATTTTTTTGTATATCTCCATTTGTACAATCAGTCCATTAAGGACACTTTAAGTACATCTTATGAAATACTTAATCTAAGGCTTAAATACTAAGACAGGACATGTTGGGGAAACAGTAGCGGAGGGCAGGTTCTGTGCCTCAAAGTGAGGGTAATTTACGCGGATTTAGTTTCGTTGGTCTTAATTCTCCATTGTTGTACATTCTTCGAATTGGTCTAGGTGTGTTTGCAGTATGCGGGATGCTTCAGTAGGATTTTCATGAGACGCTAGTATTGTTTTGTCGTCGGCATAGGTGGCAAGCATTGTTTGTCCGGATTCTGCCAAGTCAGCCGTATATATGGAGTATAGCATAGGCCCAAGGATACTTCCCTGTGGAACTCCAGATAAGACAGGGTATAATTCGGTATAAACTTTGTCGTATTTAACTATAAAAGTGCTGTCGGTAAGCTAAGACTTTAATAGAGAATACATTGGATGTGGAAGAGTGCACCTAAGTTTGTGTAATAAACCTATGTGCCAGACTTTATCGAAGGCTTGGCTTATATCAACACATAGAGCTGACCAGTAGTGCCTGTTTTCAAAATCACTATGAATTTGGTTTACTAATCGATGTATTTTTTCGATCGTTCCATGACCTTTTCTCAAGCCAAATTGATGTGTAGGTATGAGCTGATGATCGTCGGTTTCAGGTAGTAATCGTTTGAGCAGTATTTTTTCTACAACTTTGGAGAGAATCGGTACGAGACTGATGGGTCTATATGATGCAATATCGTTTGGATTTTTTCCTGCTTTCAAAATCAAGATTATTTGCGTGACTTTCCATTGACAGGGGAAGTATTCGAGTTGTAAAGTTGCATTGAAGATGTATGTTAGTACTCTGAATCCTTTGTGGGACAATTCTTTTAGTATTATGCCGGTGATGAGGTCATATGCCCGTGCCTTTTTTGAACTAATGCCATGGAGTATTATAGTTTTTGCCTCTCTTTGAGTGGTTTTATTTATTGGGAAGGCCATCTGAAGCAGAGTCTCAGGCTGTTTGTTAATTTCCTCTTCAGCTGCTGGTAGTTGGGATGGATTAGGTTGGAAAACTGTGCGTAGTTGTTTGGCAAAAGTCGTAGCCTTTTGCAGGTCAGTTCTAGCCCAGGTGTTGTCTCGTTTCCTTATTGGTGATATATGTAGTTTAGGTTGTTTTATTTTACGGGTGTCCTTCCACAAAGAGTAATTCGTGGCTTTGGTTGGTGTTAGTCCTCTGAGGTATTCTTGTATTGAGTCATTTTTTTAATTTTTAACTTTTTAAGTTCTTTTGCAAGTCTGTTGTGTCTTATCAGCTGGACTCCTTGTTAGTTGCCATCTTTTTCTAGCTTTCCTTTTTTCGTGGAGTTTTTCTTTCAATTCATCATCATCATCAGTAATCTGTCAAGACGACAGGTCCACAGTCTCTTCCAAAACAATTCCTCCACCTGATGCGATCTAGAGCTTTCTCCTTCAAATGACAGTATCCTCTTCTGTCCCCAAGGTCATCCAGCATCTTCTTACGTCTTCTTCCTCGTCTTCTTGTCACTTCTATCCGCCCATCTATCTTTCCTTCGATAGCTTCTTTTAGAAGGCAGTTTCTTAGTAAAACATGACCAATCCAATTAGCCTTCCGTTTTCTTGTTTCATGTAGGATATTCCTCTGCTCACTGACTCTAATTAACACTTCTTCATTTCTCACATAATCGGTCCAACTGATCTTCTCCATTCTTCTCCAACACCACATTTCGAAACTTTCCAGATGTTTCTGATCTACTGCCCTAAGTGTCCATGTTTCAGCCCCATACAGAGCTATGCTCCAAATGTAGCATTTCACTAGTTTCTTCCTCAAATTTAAGTCCAATTTGCTGGTAAAAAGATTCTTCTTCTTGCTAAATGCAGCTTTTGCCATGGCAATCCTGGATTTAATTTCACAAGTACACCTTCCATCATCTGTTAACAAGCTACCCAAATATTTAAAACATTTCACATTCTCCACTTGTTTTTGGTCTATCTTTATTGTGACTGGGGTTGGTTGTCTCGAAATTTTCATTACTTTTGTTTTCTCCACATTCATTTCCATGCCATAGCACCTTCCAATTTCAATTAGTCTATCAATCATGCCCTGTAGCACAGTTTCTTCCTTAGCCATTAACACAAGGTCATCTGCATATTTCACAGTTTGAATAATTTGCCCTCCTACTTTGAAGTCACCGAGCCCATCCAGAGCTTCCTTGGTAAGGCATTCGCTGTACAAGTTGAACAGAATTGGTGATAAACAGCATCCTTGTCGAACTCCTCTTCCAATCTGCACACTTCCTGTCTCCCCCCTGTCCAGTCGTACTCTAACTTTCTGATCCATGTACAATTTGCTAATCAATCTTCTTTCATGCCAATCGATACCTGTTTCTTTCAGGATCTGCATTAATTTGGTCCAGTTTACCCGGTCAAATGCCTTCTGCCAGTCTATGAAGCAAACACACAGTTCTTCATCTATCTCCAAAGTTCGTTCCGCTATAATTCTCATCATCCCAATTGCATCCCTGGTTCCTTTTCCTCTTCTAAATCCAAACTGATCTTCTCCAAGTACATCCTCTATTTTCCTTTCAATTCTTCTTTTAAGTATCT